CTCCAGAACTGTATACTAAGGTATGTTTTTTGTGGCATACTGTCACTTAACTATTGACCTGTGAACAAACTTTTAACCTCTGCTCCTTCCATACTTAGAAACACGTGGAATTCTTTACATAAAAAATAGACTTGTAAACAAATGGCTTTATTTTTGTATGTCTAGTTTAATCTTCACTGAATCAATATATCTATAAAAAATGACAAAGAAAAACTTGAGTGAGTCAACAAGCACATTTCTGAGCGAGCATCATTTGTGACGCTGCTGTAGTTGCGTGTGCATTTTTGTCTTTTCTGTAAAACACCAGGTAAATTGAAGTTGTTCAGACGAGATAAATTGATTTAAACGAGGGTCCTTCATGGCTCTTTGTAAGCAGCTGAAGTGTGAAAGTTAATTTGGGGGACTGACGACCCGGCTGCGTGTGCGTCTCGGCCTGGCGCGCGCGCCGTCGTGGGATTGAGCAGGTGCCTTTATTTACAGGTGAATTATAAAAAGAGAAACAGTTGGAGGTGAGAGCGGCGCAGGCGCTGTATAGTAATTGCCTGAAAGATGGCACAACAGCACAACATCTGTCGCGTTCATTAGAATGCATTATGGCCGGGGCTTTCCACAGAGGCTGTACAATTAAGAGTCATAATTAAATTGGTGAGTGGGCTAGACGGAGGAGCAGAGGCACTTCGGAGCTCAGTGGCAGGCAGAGGAATTAATGACCCTGAGCCTAACACCAACTCTGGGAGCGATAGGTGCAATCATCTTCATGCTGTTGCATGTTCCCATTTCAGTTTTTTAACTTTTTTTTCTCACTGTTTTGTCCCTTAAACCTTACAGGCTGATCAGCTGGCTGCATCAGCGGACATTAATTTTGCATTAGCGAGATGTTTAGGGGCCGAGGAGCAGTTACTTGGAGACTTGGTGGCAGATGTCACTGAAAATAGTTGTGTTGAAACATCGATTCCCTGGCAACTGCTCACACAGCTGCGCGTGGCGGCTTTTTTTATTTATTTATTTATTTATTTATTTATTTATTTATTTATTATGCTGTGGCTCTCTCTCTCCACCCGTGACCTCCTTTCACCACCTCAGCATCTTATTCATCACCATGAGCTGTGTCTGTCCATCTTTTTCTCTCACTCCCACACTGCGTTGGCGTTCGGCAGAAAAGAAAAGATGCAACTCTGTTTAACAGCAGCAACAACAACAACAAAAGACTGCACAGAGTTTTAGTCTAGTATTTCATATGTCTAATATTACAAACTTTTATTGCATTTTCAGGACTGGAACATGAGAACTGAAGGTTTAAATTTATGAACATATCAGTTTACTTTAAATGGAGTCAGATTTACATCTGGAGAAGGAAAACAAAGTCTTCTCCTCTCTGACTCCTGCTTTCAGCTCAACAGCTAAACTACATACTGTATATATCAATGTAAACATCAAAACAAAAAGCTAGAAACAGAGAATAGTTTTAGGTTTTAGACATTTTCTTCTTTTCTCTTTCACACAGAAACACTGAATAATGTGAAATGCAGAATAAAATCTCGATTTAACCTCTGGCAGTGGACAAATATGAATTGGAAAAAAAAACGTTATATAACAAATTATTCTTGTAGAAATACAAATTTCTTTCTATCTATCTATCTATCTATCTATCTATCTATCTATCTATCTATCTATCTATCTATCTATCTATCTATCTATCTATC